GTCGTCGTCAAGAAATGACGTCATCAAAACAGCGTTAGCCATAGCCGAGTCACCTTTAAATGTTCATTACTCAGGAATGGTAAGAGTAAGGGTAATGTAACCTATATGTAAAATGATCAGTAAATAAAGACCTTTAAGAATCTGTAATGTTTTTTGTTGTAGTTATAATTGTTTATACATTTATTGTAATTTTAATGAACCAATGTGCACAATTTTCAATGCATCTGGCGGGTTAAGCGCCCGCCTCTCGAAAACCGTAAGAGATGGATCGGGACATATTGCGTACGAAATACGTATTACCTCTTAAGCTTTCCATATCTGTTTTCAGATTTTACATATCGCAAACGGTTTAGGTTCTACAAACATTTATTTATACAAATAAAGGCGCATCGCACTTCACGCTACTGCGTTTGCGTATTTACGTCAGATTTTCCGGAACCGTGGTCAATTTTTAATCTCTTATTACATATAAGTTAACAATGTTGAGTGAAGACATGACATACAACGTTATGTAAATGTGAACAATACTGCTGGTATAAAAATATAAATGGTTGTTATTACTGTCGGTTTTATTGTAAATTATTATAAGATTTGTTTAAGTAAGCACGCATTCCTAGGAGGTGGGTTATCAGCTTCATGTCCTGGCTGATTTATTCCAGGAGAAGGAACCATGGTATCCATTGAATAGCAGAGAACTACAAGGCTAGTGGAAGCAATTGTAGTGTTAAGTAATTACGTTCAATGAATTTTTCTAGTTTAGGAGGGTAGTTGCCATGGTTTATACTAGCACAGCGTTGGAAGTTTGAATAGACACTAATTATATCAGATTCTTTCATGTCACTGTAATATTCCAATTCCATCATTTTTCATGTTCTGTTCTTGTCAATTAAGGCTTAATTAAAATGACAATTTTTTATAAGGACACCATTTTCTGCAAGAATTGTCACTTCAAAATGTTCTAAATTAATTGCTGAAAATCTTGTTCCTATGTAAAATACCACTTGTTTCTCTCTCTTTCAGTAATTGATATGCGCCGGCAGTCTCCAGGAGAGACCTCTTCCACCCAAGGTCAAACTATGGAAGAGAGAGAGTTGTTCCAGCTAAGGGAAGAGTATTCCACTCTGAAGGTTAAGTGTTATTTTTTTGTGGTCACTTGCTTTTTATGTGCAGTTAGTTTACCAGGTAATATAACAACTTAAAAGAAATATGAAAACATAATTTTATGGCCGATGACCAGATGCATAAAACTTCATTAAACACGCACAGTATTGCTTTACAGACTGAAATTCTAAGTAGTCGTGTACATGTGACACAAAAATCACAAAATAAATGCATCCACAGTCCCTTTCATTTTATTATTATCTCTTGTCTGCGAATGGGCCAGAGCTTAGCAACATCATTTTTTAGAAAATTTCTTATAAATACAGTATTTACTAGTACCCTTTCCCCAACACAACCAAAATATTTTAGATTTAATCTAAGATTTTATAATGGGATCATTGTTTATTGTATGTGTTAGGCGAAAGTTGAGTCATTGGAAAAAGATTCTTCTGGGTGCAAGAGTTTGGTGGAAGAAGCCTGAGCAGATCTCGTAGCCTTGGATATAGAAGAATAGAAATTAAGGTCACAAACACGAGAGCTGAAGAATGTAAGTTAAAAGTATTATTGAATATTCTGAAGTCCGTGCTTCATCGCCACATTTATTGTTCCCGTGGTGTCTGAAGCATGAATGTTTCTTCCTGTGTTAAATTTTCTTGTTTCCTAGCGTTAAATAATGTCCCCTTCACTATCTTGGACCAGCAAATGCTGGGAATCCTTCACTCCATGTTGTTAAGAGAATTTGTGTGTTCTGGTACTGTACAGAGTGGAATGTGTTTGCTGTCTCAGTATGACATTTGTCTTATTCATAATTCTTAAAACTGTACATTTAATAAGATTTGCAATTATTAGTATATCAGTCACTCAGATCCAGACGTGTCTCGTAGTTTTTGTGATATTCAACTCCTACTGGCAAAACCAAAGTGCCAAAGAGCCTGAAATTCAGATCAAGGTATAATTCATTTCAAAGACGTTGGTCTACTTATATGCTACAAATGAATTGGTTTCTAACATGCAATGGATTGTGTTCAGGAAACAATGCGGATTACGTGTCAGAATGTTTTGAGTTTATTTTTCATAAAATTAATTCCTGCTTTGCAAGACAAATGAAATACCCAGTTCCTTGTTTGTATTATGTAGTCTATAAAAATATCTCTAAAGCCATAATTTTCTAACAAGCAGTGAACTTAAATTTATGGCCAGCAAACACTTCTTGCAACCTGAGGAGTCTTGTCATTGGTTTATTCAGAGTAATTTATTTACATTTATTGTACTGAATGCAGGCTGAAGCATGGTGTAATTCAGATGATAAGGACAGGACGAGTGAAGAAGGACAGACTAGCAATACGCAACACTCTGAGGCTTGTTGAGAAAATGAGGGATCTGGAAAGTAAAGTGATAAAGGTTGAGGAAGATTATCTTAAAGCCTTCAGGCAATTAAAAGTTTTATGAGGTGGATAAAGCATAATGTCCGAGAAATTTGAGAGTTCAGCATTTATATAAAGAAGAAAGATTCACGTATTTTTAGTTCTGTGTTGACAAAAGTCAGAACCATTATTTATCTCACGATTCTGCATTTAGGATCATGAGTGACAACTTTTATTTTCCATGTTTGTTTGAAACATAACTTTGTTACTACTACTGTGTTCATAAAATTAATTGGAATTAATTCTTTGTTTAAAAGACAAATTTTATTAAGCAAATTTCATTGTACAGTTTGAAAGCTAAATAAAAATATGACCTTAATGTATCAGTGAACTACTTGCCCACATTGACCAGAGGTGTGATCCACTCTCCCCTTTTCAACATCAGTTGAATGGGAGAGAATTTCCAGTTCTATGTGTCGCTGGTCCACTTGGCCAACGCCCCTGAAGAAGGGTGTAACACCCTCTTAAGGAAAACAAACTCCAGTACACAGGAGTATAAAATTATAAACAAAACCATTTACTTTCTTAATACAGGTTAACAAACTCGAAACATCATTACAACACATACGTGCCACACAGGGTCTTTAATTACACTAATTCTAACAAAAGAAGTCTCCCCGAATCAGCCCCCCTTCTAAGCCGACAAAACCTCCCCACACGCATGCGCACCCACCTCGAAGTTTTCTCCGTCAAATCTCCAGAGCCGAATGTAGTCGTCTCACCTTAGAGGAACAAACTATCTGTATAATATTTTATGCAAGGGCTCACAACCACCCTTGCCCTTAGGACACACTGTCAATATGAGACATCACTAATTTTACAAATAAGAGCCAGTGTGACATCCCAGGACTCAGAAAGGCACCAGGTCAACACGCCAGACTGTTCTGGCTTCACTATAGCCATGACATATGAGCGGAGGCTTTCACGACAACTGAGTATATTGAATTCTTCTAGTGCTATCAGCTGAGTCACGTGGTTTAATGGCGAAAACACCAACGTTCTGAGAACCGTCTCCTACAACTTCAGTACCCTGAGGACAGGGACAAAGATGTATTTTGAGACGCTGGTGTTTTCTCCATTAAACCGCCTGATATGGCGTGTAGCTGGAGAAGAATTCATTATACAGCCATGACATTTTCCGTCAAATGTGTTGCTACTCTGTCAGTACGTTTTGCTACTGACATCAGAGCTTATTGTTGCACTTCCCGCAACTATTTATATGTCTCACCCCTTTCTTACGTCTTTTGTGACACGCAAGGGCCATCATGAAGTAACATATCAATAAGAGAGTTAACAGAAGATACGTTGACTGACGAAGAACAGTTGAGCTCTGAACAGCGACGTAAATAACTACAACATCAGACTTATTTAACAAATAAAGAAAAGCGAAAGAAGACTTACATTGATAAAAGAGATCATATTAACAACACACGTAAAAAAACACGCTGAAAAACGAAGTATTAAATATCAACAGAAACCGACAGACGAAAAACGCGAAATTTTCGAGAGAGAACGACAAGGACTCTAGAGCAAGCGCTCCGAAGGAGCGGTTGTTCTAGTTGCAGAAAAAATTTCTATACGCAGATGTCAACTCAGAGGATGTTTGCATGAGCGTATGCAGGCTCTATGCGTATGAATCGTAGACCCACAGAGGCCTCCACATAAATGCCTCCTTTTCTATGTATTAAAGCCAAACAATAGCCATTGTAGTATTTAGACGGTCTTACACCACTTGCCTTTCACAAGGCCTAGCCTCTGGTCTCATCATCAATCTGCCTTTATTACAGGGGAATCATCATTATCATTAGTGGAGATGAATCGCAGGCAGCAAAACTCGAAACCCGAGAATAGCCTCATATTTGTGTAACTAAAATTACTTTATATCGTATACTCTTTGTGGAAGGACTTCCAGCTTTCATCTAAACTCATGTGTCAATTAAAATCTTTGATTTTTATGTTTGAAGTAAAGTAAATTTTGATGTCCTTTAATTTAAGTCAGTTCACGCAATATAAAATTTAAAAAGCTTGTATGTTGTTAGTAACACTTATTACGTGTACAACGGAAGGTACACGACCACAAGCATACCTCATCTTATTGCGCTTCGCAGATATTGCGGTTTTTCTTTACAAATTAAAAGTTTGTGGCAACCCTGTCTATCGGTGTCATTTTTCCAATAGCATGTGCTCACTCCGTGTCTCTGTGTCACATTTTGATAATTCTCGCAATGTTCTCGCATTATTTTTTTTAGGTATAATGATATTTCACAGTTAATAGACTACAGTATAGTGTAAACATAACTTTTATATGCACTGGAAAACCAAAAAATTCGTGTGACTCGCTTTATTGTGGTGGTCTGGAACAGAAACCGCAATATCTCCGAGGTATGCCTGTATATACTTTATCTTAGTATTTCACGATCTTTTATCAGACTACAAGTGATGATGTTCTCACGAATGTGATGACGATGTCAGCCTTTTGGGTCGTGGGCTTGTAGGTGGATGCCAAATTTTTGGAGGAACGCACTGTCTCTATCGTCACTGCGGTAGAATCCCAGCCGCCAAGATGGGGACAGTATATTCCACCGAAACGTTGGTATCTACCTGCAAGACCACACGGCGTTACGACTCAGAAGGCCATCACCAACATCTGAGACTATATTTGCTAGTCTTCTAGCAGTAAAGTCTACACTTGACAGCTAGTATGCTTAGAATACACCCGTTTCATTTTTTACCTCCCGCTGAAATATCAGTGAATGGATGATACATTAAGAATCCTTAATTCTGTTTAATAAAGTTAACCACTCATCCTGAAATATCTGCACGTTAAGTCAACTACACAAAGCAATGTTCAGTATCTTCTTCTTCTTTTTTTTTACTTTACGCAATCCCGCATAACCTGCTAAAGTCTCTTATTACGTTCTTCTTTCAAGCACTTGGAGATGAATTTACGGCTATCGCAGTGCATGCTGTGCATTAACCGGCAAAGAGACAGATGCTTGTTTGATTTTGTACAGCATTTATAAAAACACTGTAATAGGAAACAGTCACGTTCAGAATTTTTTATCTCCCTATCTCTTAAAGAGGGACTGGAATACAGATTGAGGGTGTGTAAAATCGAACTGATAAGAGCTTCACAATTTGTAATTTTACCTAAATATTTTTAGACTGATCGAATGAAGGATGATGAGATGGGTGTGGCATGCAGAAAGAATAGTATAACAGGAAATTTGTTAAATATTTTTTGTGGAAACTTGACGTAAAATACTGGTTGGGAAATCTATAAGCAGATGGAAAAATAACATTAAAACGGATTTTTAGGGCATTGCGCTCGAGTTGTGAATATAATTAAACTGACAGAGGCTTAGGCCCAATGACTGGTCCTTGCAAACATATAATAGTGACATTTGTGTAGAAATATGGGTCACTCGAATGATGTAACCACGAATTTTAAATTATTCCATAATTTCAACATGGATGGATGATTTAAATGGAACACGGGCTCCATAAGTTATGTCTGAAGGCTACTGTTACCATTATCCATGAAGATATCAGACAGACCACAATGATATATCACGGGAAATCTCAGTCGATGTTTAGTATTCGGTTTTGTATTGACATGAGAAAAAAACCATCTGCCCCACTAACGATAAACACTGCTTCTTTTCAGGATGTTTTATTCCTGAATTTATTTAATATTCAAGCACAACAAGAAGGGCCTTGGGCCCAACAGACAATTGAATATCCTGCGTTCGCCTTTATAAAAAATAATAAAATAAAAAATAAACAGAAAATAAACGAGGAAAAAACCGGAGTAAGGAAGAGACGGCACAAGAGAAAAAAAAGATGGAAAAAGACAGATTAAATAATCAATCTCCCTGACCTATCCGCCAGAACAATAAGATAACTTACCAATTAACTAACAAACTCAGTGACCTTCGTGACAAGCAGAATGCTCAGCTAGCCAATGAATTAACTGCATTTTATGGAACACGAACGTTATCACTGTGTTCACAAGAGCACTATTTACTATATAACATTTCGTAAAATGCGTTTGCTGTGGGGGAATTATTAGCTCCCTTCTAACACCTAAGCTAGAGGTCAAATCCTCGCTGGCTGAATGGACTGCTTATTTAATGTATGTAAAGCTACCTTTCATATATCGAGGCATTCCGACCTGAGGATACGCCATGCCATGGTGATAAGTGACCCATGCAACATGAACAATATGGAGAGTAATTGAAATTTAACTGTGGCAGCATGTAGGAAGGAAAAACATTCCGACGTTTCCGAGAAACACAACATAAAAGTAAGATATATTTAACAATAATAAAATACGTCATCGTTAAAATAATTGATATATAGTTGAAAACGTGTTTGCGGCTATACACGGTGTGGCGTTTTCTCAATTTAGGAAAAAACTTAAAAGTCAAAAACTCAAGAAGAAATTATAGTATTCTTTCCAATTCCACATAGTTCTGTAACATTATCTTTAAGGATATAGGAAGTTCTCTGCAATTTATCACCATCAGAATGAAAACTTAAATTCTTGTAGGATAAACTTGCCTGACAAGATTAAAAGACGAACAACAAAATGATGTAGAAGTAATTTAATACTCCTGACGCGGTAACTTCGTTTCTTTTCATACTTTGATCTCCCACAGACGTAACCAGTCGCAGACTTCTCAGTTTAACAGCGATATTATTTGCTTTCAATCCCTTGCCCGGCAAACTATACTTTCTTTTGGCCCAGTGAATTACAAGAAGATGGATCCTCGAGTCCAGTACGTGTAATGATGTGTCGCCTCAAATGTTGGCAACTAAGTAAGCCAATACGGTATATTTATAAGTAAATATATTTTAATTTAACATAATTTATGACGGACCGATAAGAACTGATAAGGAAGGTTTGTCGTTGATAGCTTCTCTCTGTAGTACAGTCTGGTAAAACATTTGGCTTATAAAGTTGGTCCAGGGA